TAGCAACAGCCACCAGAGAAACCGCAACATGTTAAGAAAAATTGGAAAAGCCAAAAGAACAAAAAGAAAGCATCGACAAAAAAGAGAAAGAAAAAAAAATGAAAAGTATATCTGAAACACATCTTAGTAGAAAGAAGACGAAAAGAAAGAAAGAAAGAAAAAAAGAAAAAATAAGAAAGTAATTAGACGGATGAGAATGATGTGCATGGTTTGGTATCCTATACAAACAGTATGACACGAAGTCGATATACGTACCGTACCGGCCGTGTATTTTCTTTCAGCAACAACAAAAAACCACCATGAGAAGCGAATGTCCGCTAAATTAAAATATAAATTATGAATTATGGCTTTTCGAAACTTTACCGTTTATACATACCGAAAACTGTAATTTTCCTCTTCGAATGCGTCGGGATTTTATCATTACGTGGTGGGGGAGAGCGCCACACGGCACATGCTTATTATTGCGAATTAATGGAAATTTCGAGGGTGACTAATTAATAATTTTTTTTTCCAGTCGCGTTTATCTTCAAAAGTTTCCATTTCTTGTGCAAGCAGGTGATATTATAATAGATTTTTGTGGCGAGTCAAAGCATTAGCTTCAGGATTGCAATAAGTACGCGTCAAGTTAGCGGATTTGTCTCGATACTTATTATTATTTGTTTGACAGTGATTTTTCATATACCTTGAAAACGCATTTTCAAACGTCATGGCAAGTTGTAGACGCTTGAAAATACAAAACAAGCTCAAATGCAGAGAAAGAGATTGTTATTCATTGAATTAAAGATGAAAATTCCACGAAAATAAGCTCACACTCTCGATTTCTTTTGTCTACGAATCGCATTTGGTCACGTTTATTAAACACGATGGCAAAATAAGAACGAAACATAAAATATGAGATTGAAATGTTTTGATTGGGCTGTCAACTCCGGCGGTCGACATACATATTGCTAGCGCCGACATAATTTCTAATTAAATACCTTGACACGCAAGTTTCGCTACGTGGGCTTTTATGTCGTTTTTCGAACATCGCCTATACATTTTTTTTACGCCAGTTGTGATTTGAAATGTAGTAAAGTGACAGAGAGAAGGGTGGGTGAGGGAGAGTGTTTGGGGATTTAGGGAAAGAGAACAAAGAGAATTTGGAAATCGGCAATCAGCCAAAGATTTTGGCACAAGCAGACAAATTATAGCAATCAATAATACCAAACGATAGAACGTCAACAACGTTTCTTAATCCATCTTGTGATTGGCATTATTTTCAAAAAAATGAAGCGTCTCGACGCTTATATCATGATTTATGCGTGTTTGGTAATAATCACAATAATTTTTTCGTCATGTGTCTTATGATTATCAAATTGGATGGGACATTGTGATTGGATACACAGAATCATCGTGCAAAATGTGCTTTCTATCATTCATGTGCGCTCACAAACATGAAAATTCCGAAATGGTCTAGATATTTTGCTGGCAAAAATGTTCAGTTTGAAATTCCATAGACGGAATTTAGGTGTTTGATATGTTGGAGGAAAATGCGATTTAATTCAATTATTGCATAATATTGAAATATCGATCTATGTGCAATGCACTCGTTGCATCCATAATGCTTGTATTTCAGTTCTAAATTCATGCATTTAATCGAAATACGGAAATTAGCCAAAATTATGTAAATTAATTTGTTTGTTATTTAGCATAAAATTTATTTTGTTTATCGATGATGTAGAAATGATGTTGACACTAATCTACCAATTATTAATCACGAATATTTTGCATTAGAGATGGTGTATGAACGATTATAGATATTGGCTAGAATGTTCAAGAAGAATTCAATCGAGCTATAGACCATCGTCTATGTATACCATTCAACCCCATTAATTATATGCTTTTAATAATAACTGAAGACAGAGAAAGATTGTTATTGGTTGAATAATTGTATTAAATGTTATTCAACCAATTTCGAATGGTAACAATGCCATTTCGAGTCGGCGGTGCGTTGTGTTTGCATTCCATACAATTGATTCAATCGATTCGATAAGTGTTTACTTTGGCCAATTTGAATTTATTCAATTTAATTAAAAGTGCATTCTGAAAATGAACGTTCGCTTGGCCGGAAATATAATTTACCCGAAAGTTTGAAAATGCTAGAATTTAAACATCAATTGAATAAATTGAGTGAGCCATTTAGTGTATTGAGTAAATATCAGTGCACAAATATGCGCATATACACACAATTATCGGAGCCGTTTTTCAAAATGTATAAAGTAAATAATTTGCTCATTTAAACAAAATGACGAACAAACAAACCGGGTATGCGACGAAAAATAAAATATTTTGCCGAGTAATTTGTTAAATGCAATTTAATTTTAAAACTGCATCAATCCATTCATTCCATTGAAATGCAAATAAAATGCCATTGAAATATTCTAAATTAAATTATTTGCAAGTAGACAATGGACGGTTTTTTCCCCAAAATAAAGCTTGCAAATTGTTTTCCAACGTTTTTTTATTCTTTTTTTTTTCGTTTCGCTTGATTCGATTTTATTGAATAAAAGTTCGATTTTTTTCTGCGTAGATCGAAATAAGATTGGCAAAAAAGGCAGCGATTCAGTAGTCCGTAAGAAAAACAAAGGCCTCGTTTTTCAAATCATGCAGAAGAAAAATTCACTTTATTCTTTCATGGTTCACAGATTCAGGGAGTGTATTTTTTTACGTGTTTTTGTTGCATTCCTCTTTCTCAATTGAAACAACGTGCCAACAAGCAAAAACGAGAGAGAGAAAACGAAACAAAAATGATGGCTCTTCAGCAAAAACGAGAACGAATATACGGGCAAAAATGCAACAGCAATCGACATGAAAGTGAGCGTTGAGTCCAAAAGCCGAAAGAAAACACAAATATTATTTTAATCCACATGAATATATTGCCGCCTCATACTCGACACATCGACAATATATATATATTGATTTAGTTTCATTAGGTTTTCGGTTTTGCCGTCGTCACTTTTATTTGTTTTACTTTTGCCGATTGTTCTTTGTGTATTGTGATTCTGGCTCATTCTCTCTCTCTTTCTCCCTCTCTTTGTGATTCTTTTTTCGGCTTGAAAGCATTCGCGCACTCCTTTCTCTTTCTCTCTCTGTTTCTGTATATATTCAGTAGTCGGTTGAATTTCGTTTAGCTGCTTGATTTATTCGATTTTCTTGTTGGGATATCCAATATTTTGTTGTATCGAGAGAAAGGGCCCGAAAAATGTTTTGGCATTTGGGATTTTCCGATCTATAGTATATTCCATTGAATAGAATTTTGAGCGTCGCTTGAAATGTGCCGTCGAAATGTAAAGAAGAGTGAATAACAATGTTTGGATTTGATTTGCTGCACGCCGTTTATCGTCGTTTATATTCTCTCGCACATATGCGTTTTTGAGCTCACTTCAATCTTGCAAACAGCACAATAGGCGCACCAACGAATGAGATGAACGAGCAATGAGAAAAAAAGAGATTCGATGACTGCCACTGTTATTACACACACACAGGAGCACAATACTAACGACTGTATAATGGATATGTTTGTGATGTAAAGACAGGCGAATAAAAAAAAGAACGGTCGAGAGAGAAAGAGAATCTGTCTATAGAAAATTCATCGCGCAAAACAAACATGCGATCGGAAGATTTTCATTGAAAAGATATCTGAGTGTGCCGAGAGCAGTCGGCGTACATAAAACACACATTATATGCGCTGATTACCTTTCGATTTCGATTTGGCAACGCGAAATGTCGAGCCGCCAGTCAAATGATTCCCTGAGAGCCAACAGTAAGCACAGCACGGTACAAAAATCTCTCAAAATGATAACAACAGCAACGAGCGAGCTCTCTCTCACACTCTTCTCACACAAACACCAGCCAGCCAGCCAGAGATTCAATCGGAAAGGATGATGCGTGCTCAAACGGCAAATGTTCTTCTGAACCGATACGGGAATGAGAATAATCAAATACAATAACATAATATGCGAGAATGTTATCGATTGGATTCCAATTGAATTGTAGTGCATGCTTGATGCTCACACACACACACACACATTCGACATATATTGAATACGCGCAATTGTATTAAGGCATTTGCCATTCATCTATGATGTAGTTGAATGGATTTTGATCACCATAAATATTTATAGCCACTGATTGTTTTTTCTACACACTCTCTCTATCTTCCTCTTTGGATTTCCTGTCCTGCATTCACTTTGCCATCGCCATTGAAATGGATCGCTTTCACATTTTACCTGATTCGATGGCCGAACAAAAGGAAGAAATATTCATCCGTTGAATGCCAGATAGACAATCATTTAGACCATCCATACACATTTTTTCACGTGAATTAAAGCGCATTGGAATTTGATAAAGAAATACCTTTGGATTTAGACCCCAATGCGAACATAAAATGCGAAAATGATAAGCTTTTGTTTGTATGACTTCCATTTTTTTTTATATCGATTTCTAAGAGAAGATATTATTTTTTGATACCACGCATACACACATCAAATCGTACCGTATCAAAATGAAAAAGAATCGATCATTTTGTTTTGTGTAACATTGAACGAATGACCGTTTGTGGAAGAGTGCTTTGTGTATGGCTTGGAACGTACAGCCAAAATGCGACTTAATATAGTTTTAATCTTGAAACATGCGATACACATTTGCAACGTGTTTTCATTCATCGTTATTGCTGTAAATGACCGCTTCGTTCGGAAGTTGATGTTTCCGTTATGACTCAAAAATTCAGTAATTCGTTGCAGACGAGAGAAAAAAAGCAATGAACGAGAAAATCATTTATTTTCTTTTCCAAACTAAATAATTTACCGTGTATGTTCATAATGTGCGGTTATTCGGTTTTCCATTTATTACAACGATGGCAGCGGGCGTCGGCGGCGGCTTGTAACTGCAAAACAATATAAAAATCAAATATAAATTAAGCTTAATAATATATTTTGTCCATTTTTCTTTATAATTTACAGGAGCCATAAGCGAGCGGACATTCCAAATCGAAGGAAATTACAGCGGTTGCTCAATACACACCACACCATCGGATAATTTGATGTAAGTTTATTTGTTGTGCTTTTTTCCTCCCTTATATTTCATTTATACATATTCTTATTTTTCTTCTTCTCGAAAACGGTTGTTTTTGTATGTTTATTATTGCTCAATAGACGTTTATTACTAAATCATAATGTGTTTCACCACAAGACTATGTGGAAAAGAAAAGCGGCCATTCTCTGTGCTGGCAAACTTGAAATGCGTAAATCCACTTATATTCGAGAAAACAAAACCCCGTAAACTTGGTAAAATATAAATTGTCGGTCATAAAAAACAAACAGGTAATGAATTCACCATGCCTGTGCTCAAGCTTCGTAGTTGTATCCGCACATTTTTAGCGTTTTCCCTTTGCAATATCTTCTGAATTTTATTCGATGGCGTTCAAATGAAAATGGTATATTGTTTCATACTGTAAACATGGCGGTAGGTGAAACGGGAATGAAGTGGATTGAAATGATGGTATTTTCAGTTCAACTTTTATCGATCCAAAATGTAACCGATATACACGCAAAACATGTTCATTTTATTTGATGCTTAAAATCCAGAAAATGGTTGCTTTTTCATTCTCTTTAAATTGATAAAATTATTTCACTTTTCATGTTATATATAGTATAAAGAAAAGTTTTTTTTTATCGACTTCTTGACGCAGTTTTCACTTTGAAAAACTTTCCAAGTTTCCGAGCAAAAACTTGGACAACATCTATTTGAATGCACGAGAGTGCTAGACAAGTAAAATATTGAACACAAACACACACGTACAATAAGATTGTGTGAAAGAGGAAGAAAGGTCTGACAGGAAAACAGCATACAATCGTAAAGTGCTTACCATTCACTCACAATTTCAAAAGTTGCATCAAGAATGAATGGTCTTGCATTGAAAATCGTAAGCGTGATGAATGCTTTATTCGAACTTTAATATTGCTTGAGGTGAAATGAAGGACAGTAACACTATTCAAATCAACATGTTTACTCATTCAATGTGATTCGCCTTATGCTCATGAACATTATATACTTGAGCTCTGAACATTGTCCGCCAATATACATAAACTAAAGAATTACGGTGATTTTTTTGTTCTTTACATCAGTGCAGCGCTTCAACAAAATACTAAAAATCAAAACGTGAGTCTCTCACTGTCTCGGTGAGCACGAGTCCTTTCACAAAACGATATTCGAATTTCGTGCGCACCAACGAACAAAATGATTAAAGACATCTAAAGAATACGTGGCACACGAAATACAATTTAACTTTTTTTTTATTCTCCCAGTTGTTCCCCAGTCGCAGTCGATGAATTTTTTATTCAGCGTATACATTTTAGCCAATTGTTTCCATTCGGTGTATGTGTTTTTTTTTAATTTACCAAATTTAACCAGAAAAACCAGCCAGAACGAAAGAGAGAGAGAGCAAATAATAAATTGAAAGTACGGCCATAAACATATAACATTCTTCACTGTCCAGATTTTTTGCTCGCTTCATCTTTTTTCGGGCTGTATCATTTTTTCCACTCTAACCTACACACAACTTCATGAGTGATAGACGGTAAATCAAAATCTACAATGGCATTGTTTACATTTTTCTACACGTGAATACTTTACATACATTTTATATGCATGTTCCGGTGCACATTGCCACTGAGCTGCGATTTGATAGTATGGAATTTATTCTGCTCTATGCTCTTTGTTTAACCAATTTGATATAAAAAATGGCAAAAGCTCGTCGGAAAACAAAAATTGCACAGATGAAGCGGTCTCTGAGTGTATGGAAATTACCATCCCAACAATGCGGATCAGACAGACAAGAATAACTTGATTCATTTTCAGTGTTATTTGCATTCCTTTGCTTCAATCGTACAAAATCATTTATTCGTTTGTGAGCATTTTTTTCCCAATTTTTATGGAATTTCTTTTCGGAAATTCGCCAATTTTTTTTAATTTCAGCTTTTTATAGCGGTGTTTATGTCATCGACATGAACACAGAAATACCTCTGCATCATTCAGTGGTTTTGGTATTCGATGGTGAAATGAAAGAAGAAACAAAAAAATGTGTGTGTTATTAAATTTGGGGTTGAAGGTATATAACTACGTTGAGCGTTCTATTTACTCAAGCCCGAATTATGTGTTCTTTTCCAGAGTTGCGACAAAAACGAAATAACTTGCCAAATCTCCACTTTGCCCATATACACATTTGCCGTGAATTTTTTATTCGGATTTGTCCACATTGTACGAAGGGCATCAGAAAAAAAAGTTTTAATATTTTTATTTACATTTCCTGAATTCCGTTTCTCTCTCTTCGGCGAACAAAAAAAAATAAATAAACAAACTGAACTAATTTGAATACAATGGCATGAGCACGAAATGTAAACATTAAGAGAGCAATGTAAGCAACGTTTGCTGTCTTGTATTAAATTTGATAACATGGTTTCGATTATTCATAAAAAAATAAATCAGATTGGTTGTATTCGAAACGTAATTCAGATTTAAATAGAAAATCTTTTCAATGTCGATTTTCATTCTCATCCATCATATTTGTGATTTTATCCTCATTTAACGGACTCGTTCACCTGTCAAAAATGATCCATAAAATCGGTTGATTGCGGTGCATGGAAAAAATGTAGTCAGCTTTTTTACGTCACACATAAAAATAAGTGGTTCATATCGTTGGAAAATTCATAAATTTACATCATGATAGATTTATATTGCGTTATGTACCAGTTCGGTTAGCTCACCAAACGATGGAAATGATGTTTTATTTGTAGAGGACATGAAAATCAGTAGAAGAAAAAAATCACGAAAGAATGTACCGAATAATAGAATGCGAAAAAAGTTTGCGTGGTTGTGACAAAAAAAAAAAAAAAATGGAAGGTAGAGAGTGCAAAGTGTAGAGAAAGCTAGAGCAAGAGTCTAAACAAGTTCCACTTGAAAATATCGGAGTGGAAATTCGTTCAAGTGGATTTAAATTCATGCGATACTCTGTTCTTAGAAAGTGCTTGTGAACAGTTCGGATGTTTTGCTTTTTTCTGGATCGAGGATAAACAAGACTCACTTTCTCGTTCTTCCACTTTCTGTGCATGTATCGAATAATGAACTCTAGCATTTTGCTTCCATTATATTTGAATGTGTACACATAAAATGGTCAACGGAATGAAAAATAACTCAAGAGACAAATCCAAACAAATGAAAATGAATTTAAAATCAACACGCTTTGAGTGAGTGGCCCCATATAACAATGTGCGCATTACAATGGATTCATGTGATCCGATGGAGTGTTGTATGGCATACACGTTGAATAGCCATGAAAAGCATCATCGAGCAACTTATTATACATCCGAAATTTTTTCAGTCTCTGCTATCACACACTCACTTTTGCAGCATAAAAAAACAACACTTTGAAATGTTGAACAACGTAAGCTTAAAATCCAGCATCAACACTATTCACACATGCCTTTGTTCGCAAAAGGCAACGACAAGAATGTTTGATGAGAAAGGGAAGAAACAATTAAATACATGCTCATCGCACATGTTTATTCAAAAACATTGTTTGGAACCCATGAATTTCTTTTCACTTATGCGGTTCGGCTCCAACACCATATCGCTCTGCCAAAATAACCAATATGTTTTTGCGAGTAATATTGTTTCATGCATACATCAACAAGCAGCTCTGGTGTCCGGACCTTATCATGTTTAATAATCTCCGTTCACTCGTTTTTTTTTCTGTTCTTCTCTCTATCTCTGCTTCTCAGTTCATATGATATGCGAGCGAGTGCTGGCATTGTCGAGAGCATATTCATTTCTTTGCTATGTATTGAGTACACAAAGCATGTTCACCATCATTTCAGAATTCCAATCTTTCGTCTAAATTCGGCTCGTCTCTGAGCACTTGGGCCAAAGAGAAACTGCACTTATACAACTCGAGTCGAAGCAAACACTTTTTCCATATACCCGCTTCGACTATGCGAATGTGCATGTGTAAATTTAAATTAAAGGACTCCTATGGAATATTATGATGAAGATTTGCCAATAGATATCATGATAATTATTTTTCGGCCACTCAACTCACATTTACATATTTATACATCGGTCTTTGAACTCGAATATTTTTTTTATTCATTTTTCGTATCGCCTTTATTCTGCCATCAACGGGGTACTATCGCATAACACAATGTCTCTGTCTTCTGATCCTCTCTCGCTTGCTTTTGATCACATTCGCTCTCTTTTTCACCATAAATGCTTGTTGATTTTTCACTCAGCTCCAACTTTTTCTCATCAACCATTCAACAGATTAGCACTCCGAGTACATGACAATCTTTGACATTCAGACAAGTTGTTTACATTTTAACTCGTCAAATGAATTCTGTGTAGTTGTTCTTGGTTTTTTTTTTTCATCCGAGTCGCTTCACTTAAAATTCGTAAACAACCGACGGGATCCTCACTTTATTATTTTACATTGGCACGGATGAGGGTTCTGTTTAATGTCTGACACAAACACATTTAATTAATATTTAATGCAATAAAATACTACCGAAGTACATTTAATTGAATTGCTGAAACGATGTGTTTTATATTCGTAATATTGGGTGGGCTCTTTCTTCCGATCGCCAATTTTTATGAGGTTTTTACTGGATTTCAAAGTAAACAAATTTTTCAATCACACCATATGTGTGCTTATCTAATTTCAACCGAATGCAAATAAATCGTGCCGGTTTTTGATCGGCAGCAAAACCATAAAAATGCCAACTTTTTTTATGCAAGTCGTCTTTAAATTTACGCAAATTGCAAACAAAATCGTGCTTCGACATTTTTATGTTGGGTTCTTTTTGGATTTGTTGATTTCGTTATTGTTTTGTTATTGTTATTCTCAGTGACGGTGAAAGGTGTGGGTTAGGTGCTGGAAATTCAATTACACGGTATAAAACTTTGGAAAAATGATGTACAAAGAAGAAAACATGGAAGAAAAAAAAGAAAAGCATCCACATAAAATTCCAACGTCACGAAACCGAGAAAAAAAA